ATCTGGAACTGATTATAGGTGCATCTGATGGTTTGCTAATGGGATCTAAAGGTGTCCTACAGGAAACTAGTGGTTTCTAATGATAAACCTTAAGCCAATTTGCCTTAGAAAGCAAAATCATCAGGTTTTAATCCTTATAGTCTTTTTTTCAGCAGTTTTTATTCATTTTCAGCAATGTTTATTCATAATTCTTTCCACTGCTCTTCCAGGACCATGTGTGGCCAATGCAGAACACACTTACTCCCAGCAGTATGTCCACACAGCTGGTCACAGGGCAGCTGATGCTGTCACTTCAGCACAACACTGTTGGCTGTATCTGATCTCTGAGTGTGATGAATGCTTGCGGAGCCTGCGGGGTATCTGCTGTTCACTGTGGTCAGTGACAGAATGGACCTTTATTTCACTCTGAGTGAACACTGGCCCAGTGTTTGACCCTGACGCACCCTCTGGACCTCAGCATCTCCCCTGCAAAATGTGCTCTGGAGTTAGACTCAACAAACCATAGGCTTGTGTCTGGGCTCTACAGTTCTCACCAGCTGTACTGAAGTACAGGGTCATATGTTCTACAGGCCAGATTTAACAGCTGCTGTTGCTGGCAGCTGTGTACAGAACTGTTCAATACAGTCCTGCTGTATATGTATCTGCGCTACATATTTAGAAAGACACCTATGGTAGATGTTAGTGTATGTGTTTGTCTGAATTTGTACATAGCCACATTAAATGTTTGGTTGAACTGTCAAATACTGACTTTTGGCATAATTATATTGCATAATTATATATTTATCTAGCACAGTTACATGTTCTATCAATTACAGTAACCTATAAAAATCTGTCACACACTGAGGATACGTAACAAGGTCAGCATGTTGTGTGTCTTTTGTCCAGATGCAATTTCTTGTCTGAGTGCTGTCAGCAAACTTCAAAGCTCTGTTGAACTGGCTCATCTCAGATGCTAAAGCTGTCCGAAGCAGTAAATCCTTTCACAAACACGCTGGGGCTTCTGCTATGATGAACAGGTAAGACCCAAATGATCCTGAGCTCTGCTGAGGGCATCTCTCTGTTTCTAATCTTCCAGCTAGACCAGGATATCATCACTGTTGGAACAAAACTTTGTGTCTTTGCATTATTGTATTTAAAAAAATAAATTTAGCAGAATTTGAAAACACTAGCTGCTCTTGAAATTATAAAATTCTACTCAAACTTGCTCAAAATTAAAAAAAATTACTTTGAAAAACAAATTGTGTTCTATTAACTTCCATTCAAAGTTAGAAAGCTGTTTGTTCTGTGAAATTAGGATTTTGGAGATTTTGTCACAAAAGTGATGAGATGTAAGGCGCATCCAAGAGTTTTCAACAAACACAAAATAGGTATATTGGCTGTTGGCTAAGTAAATGTTAGGGATGTAATGGGAATTGTGGGCCAGTGCAGATTTTCTAAATTTTGTATGCGTACATATCTCCCGACAGAGATAATGACCTTGTTTTCTTATTTATTTATTTCTTTATTTAATCTGTATTTGTTTTTTCGTTGTTCAGTCAGTGCATCACACAGTTATACTGTGCACAAGTTCCAAACCATCCTTATTAACTGTTTCAAACATAAGATTAATAGAAAAGTGCACAGAGAAGTGAAGTCTTCTTTGAGTCTTCTAAATAATAATCCACTGTAAGGAGCAAATCTGCAGTTTCACTTGTGGAGTGTGTGCAAATCATTTGTGTGGATCTTCTTTCGCATATGTCATGCTGAGCTCATACTTTCCCTTTCTTCTCGGGGGCGTGTCTTCGCAGTTGACACTGAATCTGAAGGGCAGGATCCGATTCTGTCATTGGTCAGCTGCTTCCCTCTGTGTGTGAGCTTTACAGCTGCTGACACCTCCCAAACAAACGTGTCTCTTGACCCAGTCAAGATGGTCTTCAAAGTCATGTAAAAAAACAGAAGAGTGAAGATGGAATGTGTGACACATGGCGCTGTTTTCAGTTCATAAGAAGTTAACTCTTAAACTCCTACAGCTACAGCAGTCATGTTGCAAAATAGGAAATTAATGACAAAAACAACACAATCGCTATGAGTCGCTTTCTTTAAATCTGCTTTGACTAATTAGTTGGAATTTATGCCAACATGAGTTACACAGAAATGTGACCATTTCCTGGAAGGCCAGCAGCAGAACCTGCATGAAGAATCTTAAGTTCAACAGAGAAAGTGAGCAGAAAGCTAAAATGTGCAGCAAGAGAAAATGCCGTCTGTAGGAAAGAATGACTGCAGATCCGGGGCTTGTTAAATGCTGACGAATGACTACTTGTTTCATGGCTGAAAAATTTCACGTGCACTCTTGCACCATCTGCAGTTTACTAAGTGTGTAGCAGAGCAGTGTCCTTCAGATCCTGGAGACCCACATTTTAATCATCTCCATGATTCATTTTATTATGCCTAATATATTCAGTAAACATAATGAATGTAAACTTTACTACACAAAACAGGTAACTGTTCTATGGACTGTATATGATCATATAATTCTCAAGTGTGGTAAAAAAATATATTGTATGTGAAAGTTTGTGCACCCCCGGTTAAATGACGTTTTGTTGACTTTCTAATTGAAAATAGGAAAAAAATAAGAAACTATCCTCTACAGAGAACACACTTCTGCACATATTAATACACAATTATTGTTTATTTGCTGAAATTAACATAAAAATTGTGCAAACATTATGGCACATTTTGTATTGTATGTTATATTTTTTTTCCAATATGTTGAACTTAGCAAATAAATAAAAATTGTGGCCTAAAATTTGCCAAAAAAAAATGTTTGTTCCCTGTACAGAATGTGGTAACTAAATTTCACATAGGAAATCAACATTGTTATTTGACTGGTGGTGTTAAGCTTTTTCATACAATAGTATGGTAATATTGACCATAAAATACACTAAGTGAAAAACCTCATTTTTCTTATTTATTCATTTATTTAGTTCATTTATTGGCCTTCATTGACATTTTTTCTTTTGCACAGAAAGGGTTACATTTTCAGAAACATTTTAGAAAGCATATTGGCAGTAACGGTATATAAAGCCTAAATGGCAAAAATAAATAGGTAGAACTGTTGTTTTTTTTCTTTTTCTGGGAATGAAGTACCGCACTAAAGTCTAAACACCGAAGGAAACTAGTAACAAGTGCAGCCAGTCAGAAAAAATACATTTATGCTCAGAAACACTTTCCAAGAGTTCTTAGACAGGTAATGCTATCAAACAAAATATTTACAAACAATATGAGCATAAAAGATGAAAAATAAGGCCTGGATGCTGCATTTGGGAATAGAGATTCATCACCAATTCTTATATTCTCACATATTTAAACACTGGTGAATGAAGTACACAAACCTAAAACCTGAGTTATATTCTCTAATTAAATTACCTCTTTTATTCTGTTTATAAGATCATAGACAGATAATAGTTATCTCATTGGCCCTGTGATAAATACAATATTTGCTTAAAATGAGGTACAGGCACACGTACCGGAGACACAAGTAACTTTATATCCTTCATAGAAAATACAGTAAATTTAGACAGAACTGAATTCACTAATGTCTACCTCAAAGAAAGTAATCATAACTATTAATTGATCTACATAAAAAGACAGAACACCCTAAAGGCCAAATACTGCTTAAAAAGTCAGCCAATTAAAATATATAATCTTTTGATGAAACTCTAGTAAAGGCCATATCTTTTGTGACAGTAATCATGTATGTACACTTAAAATCCTACACTTTAAAATATGGAAACATAGGAAAGCTCATGCCTAATGGGCCACATACGTAATGGGCAATGTAATAACAAACGGTCTTTCACTATAAATCGTAACTCATTTCTTAACTTTAATTTGAGAAAGAAGCCCTAAAATGTGACCATGGTGAATATTGCTTTTCATGTGGAAAACATCCTTTTAATATCCACATCATAACTAAAATTCTTCAGCTTTGTCCTATAACTAATAAGATTAACATAAGAAACAAAAAATATTTGCAAACTTATGGAACTGATAATGGAATGTACAATTTGGACAGTTTGAATTACTGACAGGATGCCAACTGGACAGTCTGTAACTTTGTTACTCTCTGTAACTGTTACTGAGGTGGTTCAGGCTAAAGCAAGTCCATGGGCGAATGGAGACCCCAACATTTACATTTACGGCTGACAAACTCTCCATAATATATATGTATAGAAGTGGTATATACTACTTAATAAAATATCAAGAAACTAAAGCCCTCCAAGCAAAGAGTAAAAACAGGCAAAGTCACTTTGCAGAATCGTCCTAGTTGGAGGAAAATACTCAGACACAACCTCAGGGGCCAGGAACGTATTGTAATTGGTAATTTTAAAATAATACTAATAAAAACACACATTTCAAATTTTTTCCACCCTCTTGAAATACACTACAACAGGTTTCTTAGCAATTTCAATGCCGTATAGTTTTCAGTGACAAATGATATAATTGCAGTGTGTCAGGAAGTGAGAAGGGAACGCTTAGTTTTCCAAAAGAGCTCCATTTCACTTCTGGAAAACAGAACCGACAGTTCAGAATAATGACCTCAACCTCAACCTCCTATCAGCCAATAGGGATGCAGCTAACACAGCCACTGTTGAGTCACATCCTGTCTGTGGCTTCAGTAAAGTATACTTTACATAATAGTTCTTCAGTGCCTTATGTCAGTCCAGTGGATGTATGTATAAAATATCAGTTGTGTCAGCCACACTACAAAAGCACTGAGGGAATTATGATACAACATGCTGCAGATGGATGAAATAGAAAAAAAAGAAAACAATAAAATGTTTGTACAAAAATAGTTAAACCCAATATTCATTCAGACAAAACCAATTGAAAATTCTTATACCCACTAAAACATATTTTGAAATATTTTTGATTACAGGACCCAATCTGACAGAAACTCACTCAGTTCAGTAAAATCAGAATCAAACTACTGTATTAAACTACTCAATCACTTTGTTCTTGAAAAATGATTTATGACACAAAATATTATGGGCATTTTAACAAAAAAAGTACATCATTCATGTCATAAAACCCCAAAATGCATTATTATCTCCAATTTATTATAAACAAAACTACAAATCATTTAACAACATAAAAATATTTTGTTCAAACATAGTAAGTTATGTTCATGTCCAGAAGTTCTATTTAAAGACAGGAAAATTAATCTGAGTCTAGCTTGGAAAGATTGCCTGTTTTTTCCATCAGTGAATTATTGTGTAGAAATCAAGCTTATCAAAATCTTTTTGAGGAGCTTAAAAAGCCTAATCAGATATATGCCTTGCTCTTAAGGACAAAGTCAGCATTTTGGCAAATAACTGTATATTTGACTTCATTAGCTCATATGCAGTAAATAAGCCTTTTGAATTACTAAGCGAGTAAATTACTGAGGAGGCAATCACACTTGGGCCCATTGTGCAAAGGATCCACAGCAACCAGGCACCTTAAAATCTTTACTGGGCCCCTCATATAGCTTCGCACACCAATGTACACCAGTTACTCACAGAAACATCACATTTCTTACCAACATACCTCACCAGCTAACTTACATCAACACTACTCAGACAGAACTGATGTCTGGTTATCTCCTTCTTATTCATAATGCTGCTCATCCATGACCATTTTAAAACGGATCCTACACAGTCTGCAACACGATATATTCATTTTTTATAAGTTTAAATCTAAAAAAAAATTCATATGGTGGCCCATTTATTTTTTTTTTTTTAGCATAAGATAGTTACATCACTACCAACAGGACAACTCTTGTCCATTTATTTACAAAAAAAGGTGCATAAAGCAGTCCTCACATATGAAGGTAAATATTTAGGTGACAACATGCAAATAAGTGTAGTATTTCACTGATATGTTCTGAAGTACAGCTTTCTGCAAGGACAGCTAGTTCAACTCTAATGACATCCTATAAGCTGATCTAAATATTTGCCTGTTTTTGGTCCTACATCAGGATTAAAACATACATAGACTTGAGAGCTTGCTTAATTGGTTGCTCGTCTCTCATTATAAAAAGATCCACTTACAAAATATTCTCCCAGAAAACCCAATTAATATGGAAAATGTCTGGACTGATTGTGAAGTGAAATGTAATTATTTGCCAAAATGTTGATGTTTTCCCAAAGCACTAGTATTGCAGGAGGTCTTTAACACTGTTAGGAATGACTCAAGGAAGCTCCCATACACATTTCCAAAGTACCGGTGCACATCTGCCAACATTGACACAGTAGAGTCCTTATTTTAATCTTTCTCATACCCAGTACTGGTTCTTTTTTAGAGCTGGGTTTGTTGTCCGACAATGTTGCAGTAATTCGGGATCCGCCTCTTTGGACTCTATGGTGGTCATGGAAATGTTGTTTGCTGGATCGGTTTTCCTGAAGGTTTCCTGGCTGACCTCTCCATTCTTCGGCTTTGCTGTAGCTGTCTGGACGTTGTGCTTCCCTGTCTTGTTCCGTCTCACCAGGTAGTAAGCTAGCAGACCAGCCAGAAGCAGAAGAATCAGGATGACTAAAATGGGGATTAGGATGGCCCATAATGTGTTCCGTCTGGAAACTGGGGCTCTGTGGGAGCCAGTGGTGGCAGTGGTGGGGCTCACTCCATACGGCCATTCTCTCCCTCTGGTGTCGGGATAGCCTGCTTTACTCTTGTCTGAGGTAGGTACAGAGGGGGGAACCTTGAGGACTGTGGCACCGTAGACTCCTGCAGGGTCATAGGGAGCTGTCTTGAAAGAGAGAATGCACTCTGCAGGGGGAACTCCATGTGCTTTGAGGAGAAATCGGGCCTCATCCTGACCCTGGCTCTGATTTTGACCTTTGCCTTTTGGAACCCCTGTAGTGTTCAGAACCTCTAGAGCCACACGCCCCTCATCCAGGTCTCTCTGGGTGAAGGATTCCACAGGCTGGCCATCTGCTGATCCTCCTCTCTTCACAAACCTCGCTCCCTTTGGCTGCTGGGTCACACTAAAGGTTGGAGATGTTCTAGTTTTGTTGGCAAGCGGGGTTGCATCTAACAGCTTACGATCCACTAGGACTGTCGTGCCTCGTGGAAGCACAGGATCCTTGGCCACATTTGCTAAGGGTCTCACTGTAATGTTGAGAGCAGAGGAAACGTTAGCTGCTCTGCTGCGGGCCACAAAGGCGAAACTGTCACTCGGGGAAGTGGACTTGATGAAGCGGACGCTCACCCTCCCTTCCTTGATCTGTTTCTGGGTGAAGGCAGAGGTAGGCTGCCTGTCCACCATCACCGCTGCATACTTGGGCACGTTTGTGATCTTGTAAAGGACATCCTCCTCTCTGGCACCTCCTGTGGACACTTTCAACATGGCCTCTGTGATTGGAGTCTCGTCATCTCCCTGCTTCACTTGGATCTCCTGCACTTTGCTCAGCGTGAGTTTCTTAGCCAGGATGCCGATATGCAATGTGTGAGGTTCTGTTTGATGCTTCCCATCAGAGACAGTGAACTCCATGAAGCCATCTGACAAGGTGCCATCGCTCACAAATGCCACACGGCCCATGTTTACTTCCTCTTGGGTGAATTGCCGGATCCTGTCCCCAGTGTCTTTATAGATGATATGGCCATTAGCAGGGCTCTTTAAGATAGTGAACCTGACCTCATCTGGTGTGCTGTCTTGGTCGATGGTGTTGAGGTACTGCTTCGACAGCACAGTGGTGGAGCCTTGCAGAGCTTCCAGCAGCAGGTCCAGACGTTCTAGCTGTGGAGGGCTTGAGTCTCTTCGTGTGATAGAGATGAAGAAGATCTCCTCCAGCACCACAGCTCCTGGAGCAGCCTGAGGGGAGCGGCCATGGGGGTTCAGCCGCACACGGAAAGAAAAGCTGTCTGAGGATGCACCTGAGTCATCGTGAGAGTATTCCAGCTCCCCTTTGTTGATGTCATCTTGCAGAAAGTAGGGTGTGTCCCGGGGAAGATTGGCCCCTCTAAGAGTAAGCCGGCCTTGCACAGGAAATTTCCGTACCTCAAAAACAACGTCCTGTCCTGCTTGCTTCTCTTTTGGCAAACTGGCAAGCAGGTTAGATGCGTCCAGAATAGAACTGTCGATCACCTTAGATTGCCCCTGCACCACTGACATACCTAAAATACAAGCAGGAAGCAACACATTAGAAACATCTAATCACTGCTCAGTTGGAAGGATATCCTTTTTATACTCTAGCTGTTTAGCTGAGATTTTTGCTGAGTTAGCTGAGATATCTGCCAAATCTAGCCAAAGATGACTAGGTCAAAGGTAAAAATATATACTGTGTAATTCTATAAAATTCCACACATTTCATCAGTATACAGAACAGCAGGTAGTAGGGTGCTTATGAACGCATTTGACAGAAGAATGCTAAACGGACTCAGCATGATACCTTTGTTCTTCCACAGCTGCGAAGACACATTGCGGTTAGCGGCATAGTATGATACGGTGACAGGAAGCGTGTGGTTGAGTCGTGCTGCAGGTGGTGATGAGAGCTCAAGCTCAACAGAGTCTTTAACCACCCAGAAAGGCTCTGATGGCATCTGGTGCTCATAATACACAGCACTGGCATCCAGCTGATAACAAACATATAAACACATATACAAATATATTAACAAATACATAAACAGATAAAATGCTTTCATTATCACACACAGAATGAATGACGCTATGCAGAGGGATTGCTTTTGAAGAATAAAGGCAATATTTTACATCCATTCAAAGCTAAAAAAACACTTCAAATCACTTTCTGCTCTTCTAGTTTTCTTTTACATTGCATTTGTTGTATATCAGTGAAACAACTTTCTAGACACAGATGAAAACTAGTCATAGATAAAAAAAGAACTATTTTAAACAGAAAATCCACACATAAATCCTTTATGACTTAATTTAAACTAAGACTATTAAACCAAGCTGTGATTTTTGAAGCACTCAGAACAGCTTTTGTGAGTGATCACAAGCCAGTAAAAGGTTTTCTGAAATAGTCAACAAAACAATAACTTTTTTATCTTTATTGATTTTGTCAGGTAGGTTTATCAGGCATTTCAGTGAACATTTTGTTCTGCTTGTTGAGTATATGGTTAAAGTGGAACTTCTATGGGTGGTTTATAAAGGACAGAGCAAAGTCACAGTAGGAGTTTCTGTTGTGCTGGACTAAAGGACTGTTCTCTGGAATGAGCCTTCACTCTGAGGTCATTCTGTCCTGAACTGAACTCCTGCTGCTAAGCTCCTAAGGAGTTTTAGCACAGAGTGGAATCCCAGACCTTCACACACTGAATTACACTCAAAATGTTTGACTGACACATTTTTAAATTCTTCAGCTACAGTAAAAGCAAATTTATTTCACCACTGAGGCAATCTGAAAACCACTCAAAATACTATTAGTTGGGACACTGCTGACCAAAAATGAAAGTGCTGTCCATAAAAGGCTTGATTATGACAGATTTAGTGCTTAGTTATACCATATAATGGACACTGCAGGAACTTACATGTGCAGGGCTGCCCTCTGGTGGCTGGAGGGGGTTTAACATCTTAAAACTATTTAAATGTAATTTTTAACAGCAAACTTGTTTCAAATACATTGAAACAGTGATACACATTTGAGATGAAGTCACCTCAGTTTGTGTGAATTTGGTGATTTCCTCAAACTGTCCACTCTGGTTAGGTTTGATAAGTCGTCCAAGGCGTGGAGGCCTAACGAGAGAGTAGCTGATCTGATCTCCATCCTCACTAGTCACTGCGCGAAGTATATCACGATTGATCACTTGCCTGGAGCCTGAAAAAGGAGAAAATTCATTTATTGCATATTACTTGTGTTATATCAGATTAATGCACATTTCATATTCTTCTTCTTTTGCATTTGTGGCTACCTATGTGATACGACTATAAGAGAAAATCAAGCTGCAGTCTGCAGTAAATATCAAGGTCAACCCCCCCAGTGGTCCATATTCTATCATGAGGCATGTGTGCATAAAACATCTTTGCAGATCGAAGAGGAATGAGATGCTGACATGGTTTTCAACTTATGTACCACATGCTAGAGAATAGCTCATAGGCTGAGAGAGAGAGAGAGAGAGAGAGAGAGAGAGAGAGAGAGAGAGAGAGAGAGACAGAGAGACAGAGAGAGAGAAAGAGAGAGATGTTTGCCTGGGGACTGTCATCCTTTATTGAGTTTAAGTGTGGAGAGTGAGTTAGCCATTAGAAGCCCACCTGGGAAGACCAAGAGCTCGCCCTGTGCCTCCACAGAGATTGTCAGCTGTCTGGCAGTGACAGTGAAGAGGTAGAGAGGAGAGGTGTGGTCTCCATCTGTCACTGTGAAGGTGAAACTCCCAGATTTGGATCCTGATGGGAGAAGCAGCTTCCATTAGACAGATATATAAGATGCAAAATGGTCTGATATTACTACTTTGTGGTTCTTCAGTTTGCTCCTGAAAGAGATTTTTTGCCATCAGATGAGCTCTTCCAATGAGGGCCAGTAAAGCACTGAAGAGAAGTAGATCTACATGTTGCTAAGGTGCTGACTAATCCAAACATAAACGTGGAAGAATATAAGTCCTGTTACACCAGTTTAGAACCTGCATGATTGCCAAAGAACTATTTAGGAGGAAAAAAGTTTGTTTATGTTCAAATAGTTACATTCAGTTACATCCAGTCCAATAACTCCAAAGTGATATATGATATAACTGTAGGGGAAATTATGTTATGAAAAGTTAGGAGATTTAAGTTCAACCTATACATTTTTTGTTTAATACATTCTTCTACACTGAGTAACTTTTTTCATTATGTTCTTACCCAATTTTTCTCCCCAATTTTATCGTAGTCAAATCCCACCAGCTAGTTTGATCTCTCAGTACTGTAGTGGCTGCAGCTATTAAAGAACATACACAGCTTATGCACAAGTTGTGCTTTATTAACACATCTGCCCTGCGATGGACTGGCGACCTTTTTAGGGTGTATCCTGCCTTCCACCCAGTGACAGCTGGGATAGGCTCCAGCTCCCCCCGCGACCCAGAGGGATGAGCGGTTTAGATGATGTGTGTGTGTGTGTGTGTGTGTGTGTGTGTAGTTGGCCACAGCTAACTGGAGAATGCTAACTGCTAAAAGTTACTACTGACATGCCTCCCAGCCAATCACAGTTGTCTCTAAACATTCCTTCTTCAGTCAAGCGAAGGAAAAGCTCTGCAGTGAGAATGGCGATGGCAGTAAATTAGTTCAAATTTTCAGGCTAAAGATGAGAAAATGTGTTACTGCAGGATATTTAACTCAAAAGAGACACACTATGCTGATCGTCTGGAGGGTGGTGCTGTGTTTGTCATTCCTCAAGCTGAAAAAGTTTTCGATCAGAAGAACACACTTGCAGCTCAATGTCAAACTTATGCTGGCTCCAAGGTAAGCTAAATTTCATGTGGGTAACTGTATTTGCTAAAAATCACATTAATATGATGTCTGACAATAAGTAATGTTACAGTAATAAGTTGATAGCTAACTAATTAGCTTTTCTTAACTTAGCTGTTGACAGTTAATTAGGCAATTAAAATGTGTAAAATTATATATATTAATGTACTCAGATACATCATTCTTTGCATTATTTTGGTGTCTGCTGAACGATCTTGTGTAGAAGATGATGAGATCTCTTCAGTATATGACTTTATCCTGACCACCAGCATTAGCATTAGTACATCTGAAGGGGATCTTCCGTTGCTAAAACTTTTTCCTTATTAAACATGAGAATCTGCCACATTAACACTGAATAAATGACTTCCCTGGTTTAATTAATGTAAACATGGTTTCATATATGAAAACATGAGCCTCTAGTTTATTTCTGAATGAAAAGTGTTTTGAACGCTATCCTCTGTGTGCTTCTAAATGTTCCTACCGAATGTACTACTGACCTTTTTTGTAGTTTTAGTTTATTAGTAGACTGTCCACTAACAAATACCTGTGTTTCCTAGACAGTTTGACAAATTCCAACAAACATACACACAATAAGGCTTCTGTCACAAACTACTGACCTGTTGCATGTGGGCATGAGGATAAATTCATTTTTACCCTGTTTTAAATAATATCCTATGAAGCATAATGGCTTTTGTAATTCAGTACCTTCATGGATGAAAATGACCTCTCCGTTGTTGATCTGAGCTTGGGTGAAAGTATCAATACTATCATCAGGTGACTCTTTCAGAGCAACGATCCCATTGGTTGGTGCTTCTATTGAATATACCAGCTCTTCCGGAGGGGTGTCCACATCTTCTGTGTTCAACACTCTGTTTGTGATTTCCGACTCTTCACCAACAAGGACCTATCGAGAAGGGGTGGATAGAAGAAACACACAAGATTGGAAAACAAAACAAACTAGTGGAAAAAAAAATCCCTAAAAGGGTTTGATTGTTTTGCCATGGAGTGTAGCAGCTTGGCGTGTTATCTGAAGATAAAGAGCATTGCAAAGGGAGATGGGTCTCTCAGGCCTTGGCGGCCTCTAATGGACCCATAATGGCTGCAGAGCTGAATGGAACATTAATTGAAAGAGCCAGAGCAGATCTCCTGAAAGAGTGTCTTAAATAGCAGGAGTCAGTAGGGAGAACAGAGAGGTGTGCAGTGAAAGAGTCATATCGATTTATTCAGCCTTGCTCCCCTCTGCTGCCTCCATCTACCACTCTCCAGACAGAACCAGAGAGCGCTAGAAAAAAAGGCTGGCAGAGAAATTCAGTTCACGAAGCAGTGGCCCAGATAAGCAAGGTCTACAATTCCATTAACTTTTAGGGAAGCTATTTCCACGCAACGCATGTTTGAGAGCAGAGAAGGTACTTATTTAAACACCATAGCCAAAGTGCAATATCATATTAAACTACAAAGAATTCACCTTGCCCGCCTCATATCTAGTCAGTGGTAATGTGAGTTATATGTAATTCATAAGGGCAATGTGCCATGATTGCCAGGATCCCTTTATACCAGTTATGCCCTCTAGTGGTTACTGGGGGACTTGCATTTTGTGCCATAAGATATCCTATGTGGAGTGCATATGGTCGACCACGTGGTGGCAGCATTAGTACATTTGTGTATTCGGCTCCAGTCAGTACAATTTCATACCACAATTATCCTCCAAATTGTGTAGGAAATTGATATTTCTTCATAATCAATGTGTAACGCATATAACATTGATCGGATGCTGTGCAGCAAATTTAATTTCAGCTCGCTGAGGGAGCCGGGCTGTGTTTGAGAGAGACTTAACAAGCCATTATTACGGCAAGTCGTAATCACTCTCTGATTGAGCTGCTGTGTCCCCCAGAGTTTCTCTGTTCCACAGTCTACATGCTGCTGAATGTGCAGCTGAACTTATGTGCGTATGGTAGTCTGTGGGAATGTGTGATGGAGACATGCTGTCCAGAGAATGTATGAGTGAACGGGAGAGTGTGTAGGTCTGCTGAGTGTGTATTTGGAGGGAAGCCCTCTAATGGATGCCAGCTGGAGTTCCACTGGGCAGGATCTGTGTCACCACCATGTTATTCATCATGTCTGATCATCTGCTGCAGGTCATACAACACTGCAGCTTCCTGCCTTAAATCAACACAGCAGAGAGAGAGAGAGAGAGAGAGAGAGAGAGAGAGCAAAAAAGAATGAAAGGGTAAAGATAGAGGGAGCACAAGCAAAAAAGATAAATAGAGAAAGATATAAGGCTTAAGAGGGGAACAAGATCAACGAGGGAGAGAGAGAGAGAGAGAGAGACACAGAAAGACAGAGCAGAAAAGAAAGAGACAGAGGGAGAGAAAGAGTGAAAGAGTGTAAAAGAATAAAGGAACATGAGAAATAGAGAGAGAGAGAGAGGGAGAGAGAGAGAGAGAGAGAGAGAGAGAGATTAAAAAACAATGGGCCTCATTTACCAACCGTTCTTCAGGTGCCCTCTTAAAACCCACTTACACATTTTTCATGATGATTCTGTCATTCACCAATGTTTTCTTATTTGTGATTTGTTCTTAGGTAAAACCAGAACCTACACACACTCAAGAGCACAAAGAAGTGAACAGTTCTGCGGTACACGTAGGACCTCTCTCAAGAACAAAATTTAGACAAAATTTAGGAAGATATTGGTGAATGAGGCCCAATGAGAGAGATAGAGAGAGAGAAAGAGAGAGAGAGAGAGAGAGAGAGAGAGAGAGAGAGAGAGATAAAGAGAGAGCAAAAAAGAATGAAGGTGGAAGGGGGTGGGGTAGAGGGAGCACAAGCCAAAGAGAGAAGGATTAAGAAAGAATGAAGGAGAGAAAGAGGACAGCAAGAGCAAAAAATAGGGAAAAAGAGAGATCAAGACAGTGTGCGAAAGATAAAATACAGAGCAGGAAAGAGAGAGATATAAAAGAATGAAACTGAATGGGCGAGAGAACAAGAATGAAAGAAATGCAGAAAGAGTGAGAGAAGAAGCACAAGCAAAAGAGAAAAAGAGAGCGGCATCAAGAATGAGAAGGAGAGCGAGAGCAAAAGAAACAGAGAGAAACTGTAGGGGGAGAGAGAGAGAGGGAGAGAGAGAGTATATGCTCTGTACATGTGGAAAAAGACGTATCATTATTTCACATTTTGTGGGATAGTAATGGTGATTGGCCGGACCGCTCACAGATCCCAGAAGCCGAATTCCTGCTACAGTCATGGTTTTCCAAAAATATGAGTTACCAAGGCGATGCGAGACCACAGACAACATCAAAAAAACATGACACACTCGTTTCCAGTTGTGGGAGAAGAGCCGTTTGGTATTTTCCGACTGTGTATCTGTTCCAGGACCTCTGAGGTCTCTGTGAGACACTCTGTAATTCTATAGAGGCCCTCTGGTCGTGAGAGTCCATGAGAATGAGCCTCAGTCAGAAGTGATAGAGCTTTAGGGCTGTACCTCCAGGCCGGTGTTGAGCTGTAGCATGGGCGGCTCATCATTAACAGGGATGACGGTGATGCTGATGGTGACAGGTTGGCTGCGGCGGTTGATCTCATAGGCAGAGGCAGAGAGAGTGAGACTGTCCTCTGAGGTCTCTGTGCTGTCGTGAAGGTAGTAGATGAGACCCTGCTGCACCTGAGCATGCGAAGATAAAGCAAATACAGTGGATATAGGGGTGGAAAATATGGCAAAAATATAATCATGCATCATATATCATGATACTTGAAGACATTTTCATGGTTCATGCAATGTATCATGACATTTTGTTTATCTGAAGTTTAAGACGTTGGACGAGACACAAAACAGTATCATATTTAAAAATGCTATTAGAAAATGTAAATACTTTTATTTTTTTAGCTTCAAAGTTTCACATACTGCACACCACTACATCCAGTTAAACATTTATTATTATAAATTAGGCTTTCTCGGACTCCTGGCATTGCTGCAATTTAATTCATAACTTAATCTCGACAATAGAGGAAAACTTTAAAGGGAAATTCCACTGATTTTCTTGCTTAATTCAGTTGTTGAGGTGTAAACAAAGTAATTCAGAGTGGTTTGATGTGAAATTGTTCATTACAGCAAAGCAAGTATAGCCATTTTATTTACTATTAAAAGATAGACCAGTGATCTAGATGTGTCTTCTGAGTTTTTAGATGCAATTTAGATAACAGCAAAATTATGTTAGATCTGAAAAAACAAGTTTTTGTGGTGGAATATTTTGTCACACAGTGACTTGCATGTATCTCTCCACACAGCATATACTAAAAATGTTTTAAAAATTAGGTAAAAATATAAACTGTGGTAGGACATGTTTCAACATATTCAGGCAGCATATTCACAACCATTTCATGTTGCAACTTTCCGGGAAGGGAGCTTTTAGAAAAATTAAACTCTTCAGACGACTGGGTGTCATCACCACCATTGTGAACAATTCTGACTTGGTAAGTTTCTATGTCATTGAGCATTTAACATCAAACCACTCTGAATGACTTCAGTGACTGTTTTTATCTCAACCAATTAATTATGCAGAAATATTGAAAAATCTGTGGAATTTCCCTTTAAAGGGACACTGTGGGCACATGCTTACTTGCATCCTACAGTGATGCCGCAGTAGTCTCTAGAGTAGGATTTCCAGTTTAAACACTAAGAAAACCCCCTTCTGATGATGTCTCATGAGGGTGGGAGGAGCATATGAAAAACTACTAGCGCTCTATGGTGGATATTTGGGGCAGGTTGTATGGAATGTCCATATACAGAATGTCCAACCATCATGTGTGTACATATGCATACAAGACACTGCTCCACACACCAATATGAACCATAAACATACCATTCTAAACAATTCACTTTCACAGTAAAAGAGTATTTCCGCTACGTATACCACAGAGCACCACTGACCCAACTTACACACTTCCCACATACAAGCACTTACTCATCTCCACTTAAGTGCTACAATAGTGTGTGTGCATGATTGCATGTTTCTGTTGTTTTGTGCAACACTCTTGTGCAGCTGTAAACCCTGGGACCAAAAGCTTGTATACATATGTTCATTGCAGTCATTAACGGCTGGTCTGTTGGTGTGCTTTTGCTCCAGGCTGCTGCAGAGCGTGAGCAGGCTCTAGTACGCTGCTATGTGCAGATTTTAATGGCCTCCAGATGATCGCCACCTCATGAATGGAGCGACTCAGTCTTTTCACTGATGGCGGGTGTTTATCTGGCAGACTGGTGTTTTCTACAAGAAGCAACCTTTCTTATGTTGACGTATTTGATTACTGTGTATTTTGACTTCATTTGACTTTCGTTTCTGGTGCACGCTTCTAAACTCCAAGTGCCGGTGTCCATTGAAGCCCAGAGTAATGCTGGGAGCCTGTACTCTTTTCCACTGAGTAACACAAACTACCGCAACTCTTGTGTGCCTGTTCCATCGTTCATGCATGCCAAACAACAGCATGAAAAGAACCACCGGTCCCACATGAGTGAGTGGAGAAATTCCCAGTGATGTCTGATAATGAGCATGATACATGCCTCTTTCATTTAGGGGCCATTATTCTCTGGTTTCAGTCCTTTCCAAAGCTACTCTGCAGTTTTCTCCCTCAATATGGTACTCATTTAGAGTCCTGCTGAATTCTTTACGCTGTACTGCATAATAAAAAAGAGGCTCTATAAAGACATAACAGGAAGGATGCTATGGAGAATGAAACATTACCCACAGCTTTGTCAGGAGAATGCTCTGTCTAGAAACACTGCAAAATGACTATTTACTTTTTTACTGTTGCCTGTTGGTGTGAAGTGGTTATGGCAGCTACATGGAAACCAAAGTGGAGCCGTCATCCTAAGCTTAAAACTGTCGTAACCCTGGAACTAACCTAAACAAGTACTTGGGTTCGCCTTGGTTTACAACTCCACCGGAAAATTATGTTTGTTTAGGACAAACCTGACCTGATGACAGCTCAGCGTTTTTTCTATACCAGTCCAACAGAGCCACCCCACCAATTTAGCAAAGCCAAAACCTTCAATAAACTCCAAGTTTAAGAGCTTTGCCTGATCTGGGTTCAGTTTTCAGGCTACACTGATCTTTCTTCACAGTGGGGTCTTTGACAGTCTGGTAGTGCTCAGTAAAAAATGTGTGGATGCTTTATTATAGGAATATATGGGCCAGTTTATTTTGGCTTGGGGCAGCAGGGTAGCTCCGTCAGAGTTTCCACCCGTGCTTGAACAGAGAATGAGCTGAGGCCAAGCTCCACACTGCAGCCATAAGAACAGTGTCTAACCATCTCCACGAGGCTCAGCACTGCTACGCTCACATGACATATAGTGCTTTTCCATCAGAACCCAGTCATTTTACTCTCACTCTTTCCACTAGCAGACCTTTGGACCGCTGCTGTAAGTGACACACAGCTAGCAGTTCCAGCAAAAGCCTATCCTGAGAGGATTCGAAGAGAGCTAAGATCACGCTGAACAGAAAGAAGAGAGAGAAAGAAGAAGGGAATGAGAGAGAGAGAGAGAGAGAGAGAGAGAGAGAGAGAGAGAGAGGAGACATTGATTTCTTCTGTCACTTAAACACAGAGAACATCACTGTTCTGCGTTACAAACAACTGGTTTGATCAAAGTCTGGCTCAATGGCTATTATGCCATGAATGGCTTGTAATTAAGATGCAGAAAATGCTATTTTATGCCTGGCTGTGCTGAAATGATACAGCTAATACTGGGGAGAGAATTTATTTGTCTCAGAGTAACCACAGTGCCAGACTGCTTCCACTCCTTGTCCTTTTAATTAAACCAACAAAAACCTCCCCAGTCGCTCCTGGTCTCTTCTTCTGGTGTGATCAAAATTCGGCTTCTTTTTCCTTTAGCATAACAAAATGGTGGAGACACAAAAGCAACAAGAAAAAGCAAAGGTGTAATCCACCATTGCCTCTACCTCCTCTGCAGGACCAGAATAGAACAGTGATCTGGAAATGTGTGCATGTGGGTATTTTGGGACCTGTGCTCATCGTGCTCTCAGATTTAGGTAAAATAATAATAATAATTAAAATAATAATAATAATTTTAAGAAATTATTTTTACATTTAAAAACAATTATAATGTATATCAGATCCTACTTAAAGATCATATACACTTAATAACAAAGTAACATCCCCCTTTTCTTACAGTGTCCTTGAGAGGCTGAAGCTTTAGCATCAACCCCTCACCAAGCCATGGGCCTGCCAGTGGGCCAAAAGTTTGATTACAGACTTCTATAACCTAAGAAAAGCTCCATTAGTTTGCATTAAGGTCCCTGTAGTTACTGAATAATAAGCCTCAGTAAGTAATAAGCCAAGAAAAAAGTTGCTTCCTATTTTGTGATGAATACCTTAAATAATAATTGGTAGTGGTAAATAAAAGCAACATGTCATTAGGCCAGCTACATTGCAGAGTTTTAGTTTGCACTGTAACCTTTTCTTGGAATTAGATACAGTTCATTAACGAGGTACATTCAAAATCTGTGGTGAACTGTGATATTAGAGCTAGGCCTTCTCTTCGGCCCATGCACATAAAAACATGCTCAAAAAAATGAAAAAAAAAAAAAACAAGAAACATCCCACCATTACAATGCTCATTTCTGCTCACTCCCTATGGGATTTCTAATAGTATGTCACCACATTTCTCTGCCCATTCTAGATTAAACACACACATTTGAAGAATATAAAAGACCTGCCATATTTTTATTTGATGCTTGCAACAGACATCAGTGTATATTTTACCTGGTATGTTTCAGTTTTATTTTAGTGAAGAGTCCTGACACAGAACTGCTACTGTTTTCCACTTCTAACAAATGCCTGGAACCTAGTTGGGCTGTCACTCTTCCAGAAGGACTAGAGTGATATTTTCACAAAATTGGCCCCACCCATTGGAAATTAAAACCCAATTTTCTGACTGCACTGTCTCTTTCTACTTATGTTGGATAATAGAATGTACAATGCCTTCTGTCCAGCTCCTAAAGGCCAAACAAATGGAAAAAAAATCTTGAATGGACAATTTCTGTTGGCCTGTTCAAGATCTGAACCCATGAAAACTTAATCATAATAGTATTATACTACTTGTAGAGTTTAAATACAATAAGAATACAAATTAGCTACAAATTACAGACATGTATTGTTTTACTTCTCAGAAATTATTAGGCCTTTTTTTTAAGCCTAGAAGGCCCTGAGTGTTCCCTAGTGTTAAAAATAAACATCAAGGTACATAGGTAGGTACATAAATAAGCTTATATACTTTATATACTTTTAAGTAATATTAATAGCTTGTAAACTGTTAAAGACAGTGTCAGTTAAGATAAAGAATTCCCTGCTTGATATAGATAAGGTTAAGGTTGTGCCTATTATGAGAATATTATGCGGGCCGTTATTTGAGGAGAAAAACGGCTATACTCACATCTTTCCAGGTGAAGGAGACAATTCCTTCGTCGTCCTTGTCCAGGTATTTGATCTCTCCATTCTGAGGTGCCTCCTCCATGATGAACTCGATGTTGACAGACCTGTAGAAAGGGTGTGTGACATTGAGTACCTCCTCAGAGAGTGCCACGGCTCCTCCTTCCCTCAGTGTGAAGTTGACCACCTGGATGGGAATAAACCTGGGTACAATGTCCACCTGCACCCTCAGGTCCTCCACTGTGGTGAAGCCATTACTAATGTCCATTGTGAACCCGTCTGTACCTTGCAGCGAGGCTGACACGTACAGGATTGTGCCTTTATTTATATCCTCTTGTGTGAAGGAGTGGATATAGTCCAGCACGGGGGTAGCTGTGCTGTCTGAGTCACTGGTCATTTTGACCACATGGCCAAGACGTGGGGGTTCTTTAATGCTAAACACCATCTCAGTAGGGACGATATCTGCCTGCTCCACCTGAAGAGGAGATAGTAAAGTTTTTTGTATGTTAGTTAATACAGTTTAAGACTATATTTTTGCAGCTTTACCTGAGAGCAAACGATAACCCAAAACAAAAGTAAAATTTGTGGGTGTCATGTCTTTCCAAACACATGTGCAGTATATGCCTATCATTGTAAAAACACAAATTTAATGTGAAGACATGTTTACACAATCCAGCTTGTCCCATTTGGAATGACTCACAGTTCTGACATGTAATCATAGATTTCAGGGAAAGCTGGCATTGATATTGAAAATAGGTTCTCTTTTATATTACCCATTAAGCATGCAACAAACCTGAAAAATATTAAGCAAATACTTAGATGTGATTCAGAGTAAGACAAGCAAGGAGAACCCCATCTTTAATGAATTTGCAGGGAAGCTGGTATTCTTGAAGGCAGCACTGTGTGCTGCATGTAATTATTGAGTGTGCACACAGCGTAAGGTCAGCCACATACCAGATCTAAATCGCGATAGGCACAGAACTCTGCCTAAACTACTTCCTTTCAACACATATTTTGCAACAAAAAGCACAGTAGTATTTGGTTAGATTTATGAGTTCGTCATTTAGTAAGTTTGAGAGCAGTAACACTGTGGTTTTGGAAACTTCCATGGTTAAAATATGAGGCAGTGATAGTCTTTTGATTGTATGCATCTGTACATTTCAGTTACCCCGATGCACTAGTTGGCATATGCTGGATTGATGTCTTCTCTACTTGATTAACCACAATTTATCACCTTAGGAGATTAAAAGCAGGCACTCTTGCTCTCACTTTCATGTGTGAAACTAATTAACACTGAAAAAGGAGGCTGCATAACATATCAACCACATATGTCAAACTTTGCACTGGTATAACATAAGCTTCTTTCAACAGACACCAAAAAAATCCCCAAAAAGATGCTGTGAATTTCAGTAACATCAAAGGGTATGTAATTCTGCATATCCCCACTCTACATTTGCAGTAATGAGCATCCTTACCCCATTGTGTCAAGGGGAATTCTGCTGATTTTTAAAACATGTCTGTGTAATTCAATCGTTGAGATGTTAACAAGGTCAAGGTCAGTGATTTGATGTAAAATGATTGTATTAAAATGTACTAACTCTGATTTCTTTGCAAATGTGGTGATAGGAACAAGGGCTTGTGAGGCGTGCAATGTGAAATTAATCATATCTATCCAAAATGACCAGTGAACCCACACAAGTGTTCTGAAGTTTTGTATGTGATGCCGAAAATGGTAAAATAGTGGTAAATTAATTTACCTTAAAACATCCTGCTGTAGTTACCTCTCCAACATGAATCAATTAAAAATATATTTTAGCCCATGAGCTTAAATTAAAATTATCATTAAACAATACCTGAGATATCAAGCAACGTATTTGTTACCATTTCTTCATACAACTTTTTAGAAGCATTAAATGCTTTGCACATATGGTTCCTATCACCACCATAGTGAACATGACATGAACAAGTTTCTCTAGAATGGTATATATTACATTAAAATACTTTATGTCTTAACCATTTAATTGTGCAGACAATTTAATAATTCCCTGTTAAAATAGTCACATCAGAACATTGAATTAAAAGGCACACAGGTGGGCTCTCATTCATTCCATTTTTAAAATAATTGTTAAAGAATTGCATCATTGTGTTTGTTCTTATTTTAAATTCAATTTTGCTTAGATTTTGTTGCTGTTGATTGTGATCTTTAATCTCAGTGTAACTACCCTGGTTAAATGAAGGTAAAATAAAATTAAATAAAAAATTCAGCTCTTACCCGCAGATGATCCGAGTCAATAATGGAATGCTCTCCTTCATACGCAATGATCCCCTGATTGGAGGTAACCTGAGGTTCAGACAGATATCCTTTTTTGAAGATCTTGATTCTGAAAATCCCTTCCTCAGACAAGCCTTTTGCATGAACAGTGAAGGTAAACGAGTCTTTGGACCTCAGGCTCTGATCGCTGTGCTCATAGGACACCACTCCTTTCCTAAGGTCCTCCTGTGTGAACCGCTTGGCCTCGATACCACTGACTATAATCCTCCCATCACTGGGAGGAGAGGTTATGTCATACACAATTTCTGCAGCATTTCTGATGTCAGTGTTGGATTCTGTGCCCAGAAGACTGGTGTTAAGAGTCTTGGTGCTGCCATGGTCTATGACGACCATGGTGTTATTGACCACACGGAGGTATGGCTCACTTGCCTGAACCTGAAGCAGGGTTGTTGTCTTGTGCAATCCATCAGACACTTGAAGCTGGAACCGTTCACGGTCAGCACCTTGATGAACAAACAGAACCTTCCCATCCCTCAGGTCTGCCTGTGTGAAACGGTAGAGGGGTTGTGAAGGGTCTGCAGATGAGACAATGCTACCTGAGAGAATTCCCACTCGAACATAGACCAGCTGGGTGTCATTAAAGTCTGAGTCATCATCCCTGAACATAATATCATCAGTGGTCAGCAAACGCTGGCCATTTCTCACCACGCTAAAGGGTTTATTGATGACCCTTTGAGGTACATGATCATTTTTGGATTGAACCGCTATGTTAAATATTCCTTTGAGGACCTCCTGTCCTTCTGTGCTGCCTTCAGCTTCTTCAAACACAAGGAAGCTAAACTGGTCATGGTTGATCTCTGAGCCATCATGTTGATAGATAAGCCTGTTCAAGAGTAGGTCTTCATTACTGAAAACCCGAACTGCACCCTCAAACCTTGGCACACCAGGAGGGGAGTCTCTGATGAGGCGTCCATGCCTGGGGTCTTGAACAATCCTGTACACAAAATCTGTGGATCTGGGAGTCTGTACCCAGAGATATTCTTTATTCAGGATGTTTTCATTTCCTTCCAATACCACCAGTTTCTCATTGGTCAGGCTGGGTGCACTGGAGTCAGCTTTAACTCTGATTGGGTAGGTGTATACTCTAGAATACTGATCCTCTGCAGATACCTTGAACTGAAAATGGTCCTCAGCATCAACAGCCCTACGGATTGTGGGTCTGTAACTGACATGTCCATTCTCAACATCCTGTTGGGTGAAGCTATTTCCTTCTGACAAATCTCTGCCTTGCAACATCAAGGCACCCAGTGCTGGATGCTTCCAAAGGACATATTTTATTGATGCTGAATTAATACTCTTCCCCTTCACCACAGCTTCCAGGTTTTCATGTTTGATGACTTTTGGCTGCTGTTCGGTAATTTCAAGGGGGACAATCTTGGCCATTCTTACCTGATCAGGCATGATTTTAATTATAAATACATTGTCTGGAAGAGTAAACTGTCCAAGGTGAGCATTAAAGTGAATATACTCCGTTTCTGTGTCGTCCAGATCAGATGAGATTGTAGTGATGTACCTCAGTTTATTCTGCTCCAGGTCAGATTGATGAAATAGTGACACTCCCTGTGGTACACCGTTATCTGCAATAATTTGCAGTTCTCCGAATCTCAAAGGCTGTGTAACATTGAATATGATATCTCCATTCCTAGGAGTGGCAGAAACAGCCAGGTTCTGTATCCCTATAGATGAGTCACTGCCCTGAGTTAGGAGAAGTCCAGTGTTGGTGACTAGGCTCATCTGTGGGGCTGTAACTGCTAGTTTGAAAGTAGCTGACTGACTAATCTGATCCCCATCTGAAACTTGCAAGGTGAGTCCCGCCACTGAGCCTCCTCTGTGGACATAATAAATGAGTCCATCCTTAAGCTGTCTGCAGGTGAACTCACTCAGGCTCCTGCCAGGATGCTGTGCATTCTCCAAGTATCCATTAGGATTTGGGTTAGAGGTGACAGTAACGGTCAACTCATCACACCGATTATCTGAATCAACTATTTTGATCAGGTTAGGGCTTAAACGAGTGCGTCCATTTTCTGTGACTGAAATGTCTCCTCCACTAAGCTGGGGGATGTCATTGACAGGGAGGATTTCCACTTGAAGCACATACTGGTGGGGAGTTTTCAAACACTCTGGAAGATTGGAACCGAGTGCAACCACCTCTAGCTGGATTTGATCATTATACTTTTCATTGCCATCATGAAGATACTTAATCTTCTTATTCACCACATCCAGAAGAGTGAACTTTTTTGTGCGTTTAGTATTAATATTCATATCTACGAGCCCATACCAAGGATCAGCCTGTAAAGTGAAGATGATCTGAGACTGTCGCATTCCAACAGCATTTAGATTGAATGTTGGGTTGAGGTTGGTTACATCAATAATAGCCTCCCCACCCTCAGGAACCAGCAGAGGGCTGACATCCAAAAGTTTGGAGACATTTTGAAAGATCTCTGGCATGTCAGGAGTTGGGAAACAGTGCCTTTCTGCAGTGCCGGCGACATATCTGATACGCAGTGGGGCTGTAGTTGTGGTTGTCTCAAAATCATAATAGCTGGAATAATCATAATCTTCTCCCTCACATTTAACATGAACATCTTTAGTTATCAAGGCATCCTGTAGGCTTCTGTCTTTTTGGTTCACCTTGATTTCTCCTAGACAACCAATGAAGGACTCAGAAGTCATCTCCTCCTCCATACGAGACAGGTAGTCATCACGGAACACTTCTTTCATTTTCCCCTGGATGCCTCCTAAGTATAGATTTCCTACAAGGTCTAGGTTTTCTGATCCATTCAGAGGGAGTGAGACAGATTCGCTGTCCACTGTAATAGCAAAAGTGTTGGGCTCGATCTGCATCTTTATCCTGTGCCATTGATCATCATCCAACTGCACTTTTACGTTGTTAAGGACCACCATGCCACTGCCGACGTCTACCACACCTTTGAGGTGACCTCCTATTATGCCCATGGCAATGAAATCAGACTGGTGACCGGGATGGAAGAGAAGCAGTGCATCTTCAATAGTAGTTTTCATCAGTACCTCTATGTTGCGAGAGCCAGTGCTGGCCCTGGTCCAGGTTGGGAAGGACACAAAAGATTCTGGGCTGACAAAACTCGTGGCCTCCCCATCTCCTGCTTCAAACTCACTACTGCAGACTTCCTTGGTGTCTTGGCAGAAAGGAGTCTCTGAGGACAAAATATCAAACTGTTGGGACTTAAACGTTATGTTGCTCATACACCCACGGAAGAAGGGGACAGCAGTGCTGAGGTATTCGACGTCCAGATCTCTCACACCTCCAAGGAACACGCCTGTATCGATATTGAGGTCCTCCCCTTCTTGCATTTCAATGAAGGTTGTAAAAAGGTTGTCCACAGTCATGCTGAGTTTGCTTCCCTTCAGTGTGAGAGAAACTTGATGATCCAGTAGATTATTTAGCTGCACACCTGTAGAGGAGGTCAGCACTTTTTCACCTGATCCCATGTCTATCCTTGCCTGTGGAAATAAACACAAACAATAAGCATTAAGCATGTAAGGCTTTAGTGTTAAAGCCATGTATTTCACATTTACATTTGATTTACATTAAAGAAAGTTAAACCTCCTTGCTTCTCATTTTCTTTTTCCTCCAATACTGTTAAGCAATTAATTATGAGATTAAAATGTCAAGATTCTCGTTTTCAAATGACAGCCTGGGCAGACGAAGAAACAATGCTGTTTACAATGTTCAATCTAACGAAAGGCGTAGCTGGAAATGCCTTTTTAATGAAGAATCTCACAGTACGATGAATGATGAAATTGTTTTGAGAAAGGACATATTGCAACATAATTCCTGCATTTTCATTGCAGCAGTATATCCATACAATCTATGCACGCTGTGAGACCAAACATTTTCCTCAGCGGCTGAAAGATATCAACTCAGGTCAGTAACTCACTCCAGCTCCAGGGAAGATGTTTTCCATATGTGATGAGCAGAGAAGTGAAGCATAGCCTGATTAAATGTAAAGCAGCTGAAAATACATCTGACTCATCAGAATACCATTCAGGTCGACCACATACCAAATCACTGTGCATCTGAAAGATGGGATGAATATTTGGTTCTCGTAAAGAATTGAAAGCACAGTCTTTTAATGGCCACAAGAGAAATTTAACAAGGGTTTGAATTTGTTAATACACATGCTGTAAAAAAAAGGTTTGTAAAAAAATTACTTCATGAGGTAGCAAGCAATTTAACTGGTCAACTCAAATAAATACTTTGAAAGAAAGAATGCAATGCCAACTTTTAAGTCCAGATATTTTACATCAGTATTTTACATTCAAACCTCAGAAACACTTTTTACCAAGCAAGCTTGTCAAAATAAAGCCTATTTTTAATAATTCCATGGTTATACAAATATTTTCCATGCACTTCATGGGATTTAGGGTGTTGAATGTTTAATACAGTACCACTAAGCAAGTAGGGGAGAGCAAGTCTAATGCATTTTAGTTTTTGCTAAATCATTTGAAAAGTATTTAAGGAAGAATAATATTTTTCTATATAAGAAGCCTACACGTCTGCTACAAATGAAAACATAAACTTTGTTTCAATTTAGCTGAAAGTAGAAGAGCATGATATCAGCAAAAATGAAATATATTTTATTTACAAGGCAGCTATAGTATGTTTTGATGAATTTGTGCATAACACATCCAAAAAATTGGCTGTGGAATTTAAAAGGGAGATATAGACTGTTCTCACTATTTGAGTCTTAGTTGTAACACAGCTTACAATTAACCTCGCCATGAGGTTAGCCTGGCTAACTCTGACTACAGACACCAAGAAGGCAATTTAAAAAATAGGTGGGAATTCTGTGGCTTATACACACAGTTCAGTAATCAAAAACACCTGTGATCAAAAAAAGTTACTTTTATATACAATTACCTTTTTTAGATACAAAAACAGTCTTCAGGTGAAATCTTGAGAAATGTCTGACTGATTGCTGTCAAAATTTCATTTACATTGCTATGAGAATAAGAAAATGTGACTAAAAGCATATTCTAATTGAACCTGTTTAACTACACAAAATGTTACACTTTAGCCCTCATTAATTTGTGCCCCGCTATCTTGTGTAGTGAGTTTTTTGACACTTAAATAGGCAGTTGAGCTTATTACCTGCAACCTGCCATTGTAAAGCTCCAGGGAAAGGTAATCTTCATTTCCGGCAGCTAGGAGGAGGAGCCCACTGCGCCTGCTCGTCTTAAACTGGAGCGACAGATGAAAACTCAACAGATCCTGCACCGCATCTATCCGACAGTAACTATCCCCGAAGAATGAAACTGCAAGCAGAAAAAAGAGAGACAAAACATGATGCATGTGGCACTTCTGACTTTCATGTAATTCTGTTAAGGAGTCTGTCAAACAACGAGCTGCTAAAACATTAGGAAATTGAACATACACACAACGGATGTAAGTGTTGGACAGACTTGCGCGCTGATTCAGTCTTACACAGCTGCTGCAAACAAAAGGAAAACTGGAAGGGTTGTACAAACTGCTTCAAGGATTCTCTCTCTAAGCTATCAGTCAGAGCCCCATGAGAGAGTTTGGCCGCCAGCACTGCTGCAGGATTTCCCAGGCTTTGGTTGTGAGATTTCAGACTCTATGCTAATTCAGCCACCTGCCTAGCACAGAACCCCTCTCTTCTCCCTCCACCAATACAGCACACTCAGGAAGTGGATTATTTCCCATCGCTTCCACTCTTAGACTAAACCGGGCAACAGAGCTGGGTCTTACAGACAAGGGTTTCCAGGGCCTGAGCCAAGCCATATAGACAAGATGGACATTTCACAACAGCATACAAACTGGGCAGACTTGAAGGCACTGCAGCATGACTCTGGAAAGCCCCTAAGTGTTCTTTCAAAATGGACCAAAGTGTTAGGCCACAGATGCTTCTAGTGTGGATATTATCAGGCTTTTTCATCAAACAAAATAAAAAGCCTCACAGCCTCAAACCTTTCCCTTTTTTCAAACCTTCAAAGACGTATTCACACCAACTAATCAGTGAAAATGGTCAGTGCAACTGTAATATGGGAAAACATTCAAACAATAACGTATGCAAAAACATTTCACACGGTGTTGATGATGCATATTACTAGCCTCTTAGCATCTACTAAACTGACTCTCACAAACTTATTTCAGATGCAGTGTAAATTGGGCTTTGTTTTGAGCTAATCTGCAGCACTATTTTTTCATCTAGGCATCTGCATTGTGTTTCACCTTTGGCAACACCTAAAAATACTAACACTACAAGCAACAAGAGCATATTTTTTCTTTCTTTCTTTCTTTTCTTATTTTTGTCATCTGCTGAACTCCACAATCTGTGAGGAATGTACTGTGCAGTGGGGAAAAATAAAAATGACTCAAGAGCACAGCCCTTAAATAGTGCACATAAATAATGTTAAAGGCAGCATAATATGAAGGGAAACTGGCATTTATCAGCGCGCTCAGACTATTGTGATCAAAGTGAACTCATGCACTTTCTCTTTCTCTGTTTCTCTTTCTCCAATGAACAAAAGCTATAAGATAAAATGTTTAAAGCATTACCCAGTCACTGCAAGCATGTAGCTTGGTTCCTACAGTCAGTCACACAGTTAGTGCCCATGGCTTAGCAAAGAACGTTGGATCCCTCTGAAGAATATTCATGTAGATCACGCGCAGTGTTCACTTTGAAGATCATGCCAGCACACCAGGGCTTTTCCATGGTCTTTTTTAGGCTTTGAAACGCTTATACTAGGTTTCCTACATGCCTAACCTTGTACTAAAGGCCCCTTTTGCAACACATGTGGTAAAACTCTATATGTTTCCGTTCATTCCTCACTCCATATGCTTGTCTTTTTCATTGGAATCCCCTTAGATTTGGATTTCTCTTCATTTTTGGGGGGAATTACAGGAATGTCTGTGTAACATGGCTTTCAGTTATTACCAGTATGAAGTACCAGCCAGGTTTGGACACACCTACTTCCAGACGGCTTTTCCTTATAAATCAGAATAACAGTGAAGACGTTATTCTACATTTTGAAGTAGCATGTTTGGGATTATACAAGGACTGAGAACTGAAATGATCATTGGCGTGTCTATATCCACCATCGACACCTCCTACAACAAACGCTGCATCCACAAGGCCGCCAGCATTGTGGACAACCCCTCCCACCCCTGTCATGGACTATTCACCCTCCTGCCATCTGGCAGAAGGAACTGGAGCATTCAATCCACCACCTCCAGACTCTGCAACAGCTTCTTCCCTGAGGCGGTCAGATTACTGAAAACCCCCCAACATCCACCTGGACTAATCTAGACCTTTTCCAACATCCACAATACACTGATCACACACCCTTTTACCATCACTGCACGCTGGCACTTAAATGTTTTAATAATTTGAATGGTGCTATAGGACCTCAGTCTTTCTGTAGAGTTTAAAGTTGGCACTGTTTGTACTAACATGCTGCTTTGATGCCAATCGATGTCTATATATATGTATGTATGTACATACATTAAAAAATGTGATGCCCATTCATATGTATTGTTTTGTTGTCCTGTATTGTATTTATTGTCATGTGTAATTATTGTATATTCTGCACTCGTCTCATACTGTCATGTCTCCGCACTCTAAGCAGTACTGTGTAATGTGCTGCTGTTGTGTGCTGCACCATGGGGCCTGAAGAACAACATTTTGTTGCAATGAATACAAGTTATATTGAGGAATGACAATGAAGACCACTTGATTAGACTTGATGACTTGAAAATATTACTTTAAAATATCTGTAAGATTATGAAAACCTTACATTTGATCAAATGTATCAAGACCTTTGATTATCAGCGGCCAATCAAAGCACCTTAAACTTTGACAAACTTTTAGAAATGTAAAAAACACCACAGCTCTATACTTGGCTAAATAAGATGCCCAATATCTAAGAGTTTAGAGGAGAGTGAATTTTTACCCATTTCCTAAAGTGAAGATAAGGTGGATTAAACGGTGTAGAAGACTGATTAAACCTATAAATAATGACACGGAACTTGTCACTTATATCTCCTCCATGGTAGGTGGCTAAGTTATCTAACTAGCTCTATGCAGTCTTACAGAGCCAGTTCAACACTTCTGTCTTCTGACCATGATAATGTGCAGAGCAAAAATAGGTACCGACACTGACAATGTAAACAGGTAAGAGAGTGCACGAGTGTTTAAACAAGCATAAAATATGCCGACATGATTCTGGACACGAAAGTTTAGCGAATTAGCATTTAAAGTGGAAAAAGTCAAGTGAGGAGAGGAGATTAGAATACATCTAATGCCATTCCATACATGAGGTTTCGAATACTTTTTGTTTGATATTTTATTGGTCATGATGGTTAGAAAGGGTACATTTATATCTGATCAATTTGTAATGGTAGTCATGCAGAGTGGACACATCTCTCTGGTGTGTATTGCAGATTTTAATGGAATATTCTGGTGCATGGCGGTAGACAGAAGAAGCACTGCCAGACATTAGTAAGCTGCAAGCTAAAGAGCAGTGTGTGTGTGTGTGTGTGTGTGTGATTGAGTAAAAGAAAGAGAGAGAAAAGAGAGATGGATTAGTAGTTTAACTAAGAGAATCATAGTCAGCTTCATTATCCTCATGGCTCTACTTGTGGAGGGCCCACAGCTGAGGGAGCAGAGGATAAAATATGAGAATGGCTGAAGCCAAATAATTCCGCCTGCTGTTTCTGAGCTTCCTACAGCGCCAGAAGCAGCCAGAGTGAACTGAGCATGCCCCGAAAATGGGGGACACAATGGTTACTCTCAGCAGAGCCAGTGCGTGTCAAGCTGGAGCACATTAAACCTCTGAGATGATTGTGAAATAGGACACATATGTTCAAGGACCTAAGACCTTTTCTAGAGTTCAGCATGTACCATACATTTCACTTCCACAGCTACATTTTTTGTATGCTATTGGTGAGGTAAGGAGATATGGAGAAAATAAAACATCATGATACGTGATGACACTTTCAAAATACACAGTTTTTTAATTGTAATAATTGTTTTTTTATTTGGTTTAAAAACAAAATGACTGAGCAAAACATTTACATTTAAAAAACACTTTGAAAACTGAATACAATAATTGTTTTTATTCAGCATTTGTAAAAGTGAAGTATTTGAAGCTATTTAGGTTTTGGAGACCAAACTGGTAAAAATGTGGATAAAAAAACATTTTGTAACATCAGCTGTGCTTCAGACCCTTAAGCGGATGAATGTGAACACTTTAAAAAAATGAGCTCGGTCAAAACTTTGTGAAGGCCATGTCTTCTGAGAGTGTAAGTGAATTATCTTCTATTGTCATCATATCTTCATCAGTATAATGTTGATTTTGCATTTCAGACTTAAACACCAAGCCGGACCTTCTTTTTGAGTGCCATTAATATGTAAAGACATAGGATGTGTTCTGATAAACTCCTGTAAAATCCTACCTGATGCCTCTGACTTTTAAACTGTTATTTCAGTGCATGCATATTTTAGCAAGTATTTTTTTCCTCTTGAATCAATAATGCTACATCTTTCAATTTCAACAAAAAAATCTTCTTTCAGCTTTAAGAAGTAACAGGTGTTAAAATCAAACAGGTAGTAGCAATAAAGAATAAAGTAAGGAAATGCAAAATGGGCTGACACACATTCAACTACTTGTTACTGTGCAGTTTGTGCAGTTGCTGTATGTAAGTTGCTGTTTACAGACTCTCTATACAATTGATCTATTCATGTCCTGCCCACAAATATGGTCTTTAATACTAACTGTTGCAAAGTTGGACAAGTTTTACAGAACGCTGGAAAAAAATCTCATTCTATGAGAAACTGTAGTGCACAGCTTTCATATTTTGTTCAAAAATATTTTGAAAATTAAGCATGTTATTCATTTAAAAAGTGGGTTGTTATGTAACCAGGGTGATGTTAACATGGGATTTCCGAACTGCCTAGTTTGAATTAGCTACAGCAACACATTCTAGCTTGGTAGCCTAGTATTTTCAACTGGAAACTCATCATTATGTAGTGTATCTCAACTCTATCTAAATTCATTAGGTTAAATCTGATTTTTGACAACATTACGTAAAGGTTATCTAACCTCACAGCAGTTGCTAGAAAAGAACAGTTGTGGACAGAGCAGATGGGTCAGTTGGTCTCTTTATGACAGATGGAGTTAATTTATCATGATTACAATAACATTTCATCCTAAGATAACATATTGCCCTTGCGGTGAGGTGATGCCAACAGCATTCACAGCTCTTTTAAAGGTCTGGATTGTTGTGGATTGCG